TTACAAGAGATACTAAAGATACTAGAAAAAGTATCAATAATAGCAAAAGAGAACCAATAATATAGCAAACAACAACCAACCATTAATACGCAAGATGACATAACCCAGAAACCAACACAGCTATGGATGTATCCAAAGTAAAATAATCTTACAAGATTGTAAACAGGGAATCAGAGACATCAATTGGCAAATGATGACAACTACGAACCAAAAAGAGGGAAAAAATACTGCAGTTACAGAACTTCTAAATTGTGTGGGAGTCAAGAGTGTTGCAAGATAGAATGGACTATTCTAAACTCAGGGAGAAAATTATAAATCACAAGGTAACTTCCAAGAAAAATGATAAACCTTCACATCACAATAAAAAAGAGGACAAGCACAAATATTTAGCAAATACTAAAACAATAGCAACAAAGGAAATGATAACACGATTCGAACACATAGTGAGCTCAACATAGAAAATCATATAGACCAAAGAAACCAGAAACCTCATGAAAAAACACATAACAGAATGACAGCAAACAATTCAGACTTGTTGATAATTACACTGAATGTCAATGGATTAAATGTACCACTCAAGAGACAGAAAGTTGCAGACTGGATAAGAAAACATAACCCATCAATACACTGCCTATAAGAGACACACCTTAGAGACAAAGAAAAAAAAGACTAAAAATCAAGTTGGAAAAAGATATATCAAGCTAATGGCAACCAAAAAACAGCAGGGGTGGCAATATTAATTTCTGATCAAATTGACTTTAAGACAAAAGCCACCATAAGAGACAAGGAAGGATATTATATAATGATTAAAGGATCAATTGAACAAGAAAATATAACCATAAAACATATCTACGCACCCAACGAAAGAGCCCCAAAATACATAAATCAGGCCTTAAAAAAGTTGAAAATGTGAGTAGATGACTCCACAGTCATAGTAGGAGACTTTAATACACCACTTTCAATGAAAGATAGAACAACTGGAAAGAAACTCAACAAAGATTCAGAAGATATAAACAATACAATCCACCAACTTGACCTTATAGACATCTACAGAGCACTTCACCCAACAACAGCACAATATGCATTCTTTTCCAGGGCACATGGAACATTCTCCATGATAGACCATATGGTAGGCTATAAAGCAAGTCTAAAAATTTAAAAACATTGAAATACTGCAAAGCATCTTATCAAATCACAATGCTATAAATCAGAAATCAACAATAGGAAGATCAACAGAAAAAGAGAAAACACCTGGACACTGAACAACACCCTCGTTAAGAATGACTGAGTAAAAGAAGAAATGAAAACTGAAATTAAAACATTCCTTGAATCAAATGAGAATGAAAACACATCATAAAAATCAAAAGTTGGAAAAGATATATCAAGGTAATGGCAACCAAAAAAGAGCAGGAGTGGCCATATTAATTTCTGATCAAGTCAATCACAGAAGGACAAATATTGCATTAGTCCGTTATTGTAAAAAGTCAAGGAAAGGTTTATGTATGGAAAGAAATTTTCTTTGTTGGCGACCAGAGGTGGGAGGGGAGGGAAGGGAACACTGTTAGATAGGTAGATACAAGTATTGATCTGGGTGAAGAGAAGGGCAATGTACCAAATGTGAGTGATCAATATACTGGCATTGAGGAAGAGAAAGACATAGAGAGCTGCATGGGAAGTACAGACAACAAAGATGAACCGTTTTACACATATAGTACTCCATTGTCAGTGAAAGCAAACAGTCATCTATGGGTGGACAGGCTGGACTATTAGGTATGTATATGCAGGGGGGTATGTCTATGCAAGGATTGTGGAGCTGGTACAGGATGGGGCAGTGTTTCTTTCTGCTGAGCATAGAGTCACTATGAGTTGGAGACCACTCAGTGGCACTTAACGACAACAAAACCATGCTGTG